CCCGCCCCACCCCCTACCTCCTCCAATCCCATTCTACCGAAAATGGACCCAAACATAGATGTCATACCATTTGCTAGTCCAATCTTACTGGTGTCAATGGTGTAAGGGTTGGATACTTCTCTGTCGCACACAGGAGATCCGAGTTCGACTCCCGAGTAGGGAAAACATTTTATTGAGTATCTCGGTCGTTTTGCTGGGATGCTGTATACCTCTAAGCACTGGTTGGCCCTGGCAGGCAGGGTCTGCAACCCACCTCCTAAAGGATCAAAATTGCGTCGATGGGGGAGTTTTAAAAAATCCCTCTCATATTAAAATTAAAAGTCGAAAATCTTGCCAAGAAAAGGGTGTAAAAATCATTCTGATACTGACCACGTCTTGGTGTCTCAGCGACCGGACTGCGTTCACGAACGGCTGACCGACCGTCTGTTGGATGAATCCACACCTGGGAAACCAGCGGGCGTGCTCCACGAGAGGGTGGTCGTAGACTTCCCAGTTCCTGACACCTCCTCCGCAGTAGTAGCAGCGGACGCAGTCTGCCTGGCCTGTTTGGGATAAACGACGATGAGGGTGACAATTTTGTTAGACTTCATCAACAGAACTTTTGACAGCATTACTACGTTCAAACTAATAATGTGGGCGTATTGGTTTGAGGAAGAACTCCATTGATTCTTCGAAAATAATTATGTTAGTACCGTTTGCTGTTTTATATTTCATAGTAAAAGTAAAGTTTTTCCTGCATCCGATCGGATATTCGGGATTGCCTTGTAGTGAAAGAATTTCCTGGGCCTTCGGCATATTGCGGTAGGGTGGCCAGTTCCTTTCCTCGCCACCTTTACTTCTCCAACTCGAAGTCAGGTACCCATTACTGCTGGGTGGGCAGGAGGGGGCGAAAAAAATCCGTGTCTGCACCTGGGCTCGAACCGGGACTTTCCGCTTCGGAGACGAACGCACTAACCGCTCCGCCGCCGCACCCTCTAACTCATAGTGGGCCTACTTTATGAAAGTTTTGAAGCGAAATTAAACATGTTATAACTTCATCTCTAATAGATATTCTATACTATACTCTACTATACTATACAATACTATTCTATACTATACAAT